ATAAAATCTCAGTGTTTCATGAGGACCTACAAGAATTAAACTGGTTTCGCGTTTATTTATTTATTGTTTTTAGCCTTGAAGTGACTTTTTATGAATAACTAAGGACAATGGTTTCAGCTAAAAATAAATCGTTAATGTTCAACTGAAGAGAAAAAAAAACTCTTTGAAACAGTCTGTGAAAATATTTCATTAAGCAATGGGAAACCATTGCAGCACAACACTGTTAAATGGCATCCTACTTCATACAAGCATGAGACAAGCACAATATTGCAAGCAGTTTACTACAGCTGGACTTTTATTTCTTGACAAGGATTGCTGTCAAGTAACTGGGTGTCAGACATAAAAATGTGATGTGAGACTATTGTTAGTTCATATAGTCTAATGCTTGAAAAAAAAATTATGGTTCTTTGAAAAAAAGAAAATACTGAAAATTTGAACTATAGGTGGGCACAGATATTTTTTAAAATCTAGATTAATCTCACTGTAATCTTGGAATTAATCAAGATGAATCTAGATTAAAATGGCTCATTTGAATTCTGCCGAAGGCATTCAGAATATGTGTGCTACCCAAATAATAAGTCTTTGAGATTGGGTTTCTCAAGCCAGGTGGCGCACTAGACCAGGGGCTCATCTCCTGTTTTTAAAATCCATCACAAACTGCTTCTGCTTCTGTTCTACTATGATAAAATAAATTAAATAAATTGTTGATGAAAATAAATTTTATTCAATAAGATGCACTTAATAAACACTGCAATCAAACTATTACCGCCATGTAGGACTTTTCGGCATATTTTCCGACAAGATCCCCACACGCGGCTGTAAGTAAAGGATCGCACACACACAGACACATCGCGAAATGTGGAAGTTGTTTTCTTTCCATTTGGCATGCGTTATTAAATTCCACAATATTCTCACCAGTCTTTACTCCTTATTTTCGTCTAATACTCCAGTTTGTCATGGGGGCATGAATGAAATGTTCATGAGTTAAAGTGAAACTGCCGAACTGCAGTTAAAGTCTTCGAAGCAAGTGAAAGATCCAGAAGGGCATCCTGCTGATTTGATTCAGAAGGGCACTTCTTTATCAGACGGCTCACTGGTCAGGTGTGCATTTGCGCTAAAATATCAAGGTGAAACACATCATAGCTTGCGTAGAATAGACCCAGCTCCCAACCCAACTTTGAGAATATATTAACGGCAAGAGTCTTGCGTTAACGCAGCACATCAACGCCGATAACGGTTCACCACTACTATGAACACAAGACTAAATGTAACAAAATAAATGTTCAGGCATTATTTTAAGTAACAATTTCCATTATTGACAAACCATTAACTCAAGCTTTTAGCTCAATAAACTACTCATTTGCTGCTTTTTAACAGTTAGTAATGTAGTACTTTAGCTATTGGTTAGGATTAATGATGTAGAATATTCTTTATGGGAACTGATAAACAGCCAGTATCTTAATAGTACTAGTTTATTGTGAGAATTGGTACTTAAACCACAGTGTAACTGAATTGATTATTCATATTGATATCATATTATATGCTGGCATCTATACTATGAAGTGCATTCTGAAGGGACTTTTTGGACAATCAAGAAAAGAATGAAACGGTCCTCTTAACCACATTTACCATCATCACTTGAATTTTTTTTCCACTCAAATGCAACACTTTACATGCAAGGCACACAATATTTAAAATAATGTTGGAAAACTGTAGCCATTGACATCCATGGTAGCAAAAAGTATGGTCACACATTAACAACACATATTAACAAACCCTCAACTACGACTTTTAGCTTAATAGATGAAGTTTCACAAACCAATTTCGAGAGGAGCACGTGATATGATTGACTGCAGCTGGCCACTTATCTACACTCATTAGCTAGCAAATAAGATCGATCCAAACTCACAATACGTAACCTAGCTAAGAACTACTCCCTTATCTTCGTTTTCCCGAAGAAACCCCCCATCCACCCCTTCTCCTCCTTTCCTCTTTTGCCGCGGGGAGCTCTCGAGAACACCTGATCTTGTACTCCCCTCACATGCTCTATGGACCTGGCGGGAGCCCTGGGCTCAACTATCTCCGAGCTCAGGGTTCTCTCCCGGGACACCATGCCAAACCTGCTAACTTGCTAACAAGTTGTCAAACAGTATCTAAGTGTGAACTCTTGAAACTACTAATTTGCTGATTCTTAACAATTACAGTTAGTTTTAACTATGTACAATAAGGTCATGCAAAATCTTTACTTTATAAGTACTAGGAAACAGCAAATATTTTAACAATCGGCAGCTAATAAGCCACTAACTAGTAAAAACTGGTACTTAAACTGCACTGTTATCAAAATACTATAGAAGCCAATGGCTACCAGATTCCAATATTCTTTTAATTATCTTATTATGTAAAATTCAAAGATGAAAGATGCTTAAACTGTTTTGGAAGAAGTAAATAGAGATAAATGATGAGATGAACTATTGTTTTATGTGAAATGTGAAAACACTTTATGGTTATCATATGCTTTAAAAATCACTAAGAAAGCCCTGTGTTCTCATGCTTTAGTAATTGTTTGATTTAATTAGACAGATCTGATAGCGCCTGTGCTCAGAGGTCATGAAAAACCTCTGCCTATTTCTGTCATAGCAGAGTGTGCACGCAACTCAAAGGTCATCACAGGCCAGGATTGTGTTTTCCTTAAATGATAACTCCAGGCCTTTATGTCTTTCTGAAAGTCTGATTATTGAAAAGATTATATTAGGTTGCTTATTAAGTTGATAGTTGAAGAGTAAAGTGTAAAAAAAAAATATGTATGTTATTTAACAGTTTTGATATTTTAATATTCACATATTAAGTGTTTTCTGTTTATTTACAGTTGTGAATTGCGTTATGGGACCTTAATCTCTGCTCTGTCGACATTTGATGTTAAAAATTCAACTCTACAGTTTGACAAAGCTACATTTATTGACATTTTAGTAGTTAAAAATAATATAATATATAAGAAATAATATATAAGGAAATATGTTTAAAGAGCCCATATTATACATGAAATAAGGTCATATCTTGGTTGTAAGGGTCTCCAACAACAGTCTAATATGCATGCAAGGTCAAAAAACACTTTCATGGTCTTATAATCTGCATTTATTTTTATCTAATTATCCCAGCGACTCCTGTATGAATCGTCCAGTGATTCATTTGTTCCCAAACCCCTCCTTAGCGCGAAGCTAATCTGCGCTGATTGGGCCGATGACAGTCTGTCGCGATTGGTCGACTGCCTTCAGTCAGAGAGGGAAGTGGCCAATAGCTAATCAGCAATTTAAAAAGTAATCACAGTTCATACACGCTCGATAGTGTAGAAGTGGACTTTAGCTGCCACACTATGGCGAGTGGATAGTGCCACGGATAACCGAACGAAGGAGACAGTCGTGTACTCGCCATACCACACACACACAAAAACACACACACACCTCCGGATGACAACGCTCCCGCTTCAGCCCGCACCCGCCAGGTTTTAGCCTGAGAACCCGCTCCGTTTTCTGCCCGCCGCGCCCGGTCCCGCTAGAGCGGAGAACACAACCAAATATCACCCAGTATACAGTCCAGACAGCCAAGCTGTCTGTATCAAAACACACACACAGCACAAAGTACACAAAGCTCGTTCGTTCGTTCGCTCTCTCTCTCGCTCTCTCTCTCTCTCCCCGCGCCAGATTTCTGCGGCGCGGGAATACATTTCCGAATAAATCGCGGGAGCAGAACTCTAGCACGGAGCTCCATAAACAAACAGCACGCGTCGCGTTTTTAACGTGACTTTGCACGCGATAAGATAATATATCCAGTTAACCTGATACAGTACTCGCGGTTACAAGTAACAAATCACAACTAAATACATTTGCAAGCAAGAGTAAACGAGGCAACAACTTTAACCGCACGTACTTACACTTGAGAAATGTAGGAAGAAACCCATCCTGACGTCCATCAGTTACTCTTTACTGATCCTTCCTTTAACAAACTCAGATGAAGTATTCTTTGTAGCATGTAGCTTCCAGAAGTTTCCAACTGCTTGGCTATAATGCTGATGTTTCATCTTTGGGTAGAGACTCAATATAATATCCATCTGCAGTGTGACTTCAATCGACCGGCATGTTTGTGTGCGTGTGTTTGTGGGTGTGCGTGTGTTTGTGGGTGTGTGTGTGTGTGTGTCTGGGTTACTGCGTCAGAGGGCGGGGCCTCAGGTTTGAAATCTCCCGGGTTTGCGCGTGCACGTGAAAAACTTTGTTTCGTTCGTACGTCATGGCGAAACACCTAATGAGTCGGTATCAAGGCGACTCGTTTGAAGCACTATGATTCGACTCTTTTATAGATGAATCAACAGTTTTAAACACTGTATTCTTACAGATTTAAGCCTTAGCTGGATACTTCACTTCACTTAGAGCTGTGTTACACACTACATGGAGGGGAATTTTCAAAAACCCATAATATGGGCTCTTTAAAAAACAACATGCCCTGACAGTTCATCACAAGGTTTTGTATTATAATATTCAACACCAACCCAGAAAATATCTCACTTTAAACTATTAAAAATGTAGAAAAAAGTCACTTTTTCAAACGTTTTAAGGTTTAAAGTTGTTGAACGAAAGATCCAGATATCTTATATTGCTTGCAGTGTACAGTAAACATCCTACTGTATATGCTTATATTCAATTATTACACTTTAAGGGCAATGAATAAAACATTTGATTTGCCATAAAAGTGAAATGACTGAATCTACACACGTCGCCCATGGCACTTTTTTTCTGTGAAGGTTTTTGCACATACAGCCAGTAAACTTTTGCAGTTAACAAGTTGCATTATTAATCTTGTGGTCTCATTCACATATTTTTGATCTGGATATTTGTAGTCAAACATCTTGCCTGAGAGTGAATTTCAGCCACGCATCACTCTTTGATTCCCTCCATTCATTTCAGAGCTCATTAGAGAAGATCAGACCTGGGCTGTGAGTTGGAGGGGGTGAAACAATGAGAGAGAGAGGACGAGGAGTCTCAAGCATATTAGCCACTACTTACACATAATCTGGCCGCTGGACTCCTCCTTCCTGTTGCCCCACGGAGCCCTTAGCAGCACCTCTTCGCCCATTTCTCTAATACTAATGGTGGGATAAGATCAATTCAAAGAGCGAGGATTGTGCATGGAACCTCCTGTCCATTGGTTTGACTGATCTTGCAAGCAAGCTGATTGCATCACAGTGACAACTTATTGCACTGCCGTCAGCCCGCATCCTGGAGCCTTTGATTGGCATTTCTAATGACCTTTAGCAGATTCCCTGCTGGATAAACTGTAGATTGACAGTTGTTTCACTCAGAGCCATTTGTGTAGCCCATGGCTGTCTAGCAAACTGTTGTGAAACTCTTCCTTTTCATTATCTGCACTACAAAAAAGGTAAGACGGATGATGTAAAAGCCTCAGAGGATCTTTCTCTTGCCAGTGTTGTTCACTTTTATTTCGCAGCTTCTGAATAGCTTTAATACCTGGTGGTTTTTATTAAGCTTTATGTTTGCATTTAGTCTGAAAAAGCTATTATTTTGCATTCAGATTGATGTGACTCTGTAGGTGTTTGCAGCTAATCCAAATGGGATATTTAAATCTCTTTGAAATACCTGTACTATATACACATTTGAAGTTATTTCTTCACCTAATCTGCCCTAAGCAAACTGATTACCTAAAACAGACGCTTCTTCAGTACTTAATCTGTAAATAACCTGCAGACACCCTCTGTTTTTAGGCTTCACCTCAGACTGTCAGTAAGAAAGAGCTGATGCACTGTGGCAGCTAATGCGGTTCATTTGTTTATTTAGATGCAGTGTACACATTTGCTAAATTAACCGGTCTAATTTATCATGTGAGAACGGGACGATTTTACAGACTTAGTTATCCATTTGTGTGCTTATAGTAAAACTAATGACTCCCAGTCAATTTTTTTGCATCAAATGATGTTATATAATCAAGTGTGAAAGCAAAACACTCAATCACACACACCTTAGTTTTCCTACATACTGATGTGCAACGCAATTACTGCTGTGCACCAATGGCTAAAATGAACCGATTGCCAGGCTTTCATCTTGTTAGAGCTGTAACTGTGTGTATCAGTCTTTGATTTGCTTGGCATCATTCAGCATTTTAATCTTGTTCAGAAGAGCCTGAGTCCATCTATAGAGTTCACAATGTGCACTAACAGTAAAGAACATTATTAGATTGGGTCATACTTTTTTTTGATAGTTCGTTTGTTGAATTTAAGTTACATTGCATCTGCATGCAAACTAATTCTCATTAGACTATAAGTAGACTGTTAGGTTGGGGTTTAGGGTTAGGGTTAGTGTGAGTTGACATGTAGTTGCAACGTTTCTTATAGTCAGTTAAATGTCTGTTGAAGGAGCAGCATCAACAGATATTAAGAGGACAGTCTACTAATACTCAAATAAACCATCAAAATAAAGTGTTACCTTTAATTACATTTGCTGGTATTATTTTTGTTGGATGCACAGTGATAGTTTCTATTTGCATGTTTCCATGCAGACAATGATTATCCAATAGTTCATTTCCCAAATTTAGACTTTGAGGTCCATATATTAATGGTAATCCTATTGCACCATAGTAAGAAAACACATATAAATTGGTTTAACGTGCGCAAGATTAAATGCACAGTTGCAAAGTTGCATGCATGTGCTTAATTACTGCAAGCCTACAGGTTATGTAACCAAACAAGGTTATCTCTGCTGGAGAGGGGACTGACTTCTAAGAACCTTTTAATCCAGACCACGTTAAAGCTGAACAACTCTCGTGTCATGTGACATGACATGACCGCCTGCAGCTGTTGATATACAGTTGGAGGACGAAAAAAAAAAGATGGTGATAAACCACAGGTAGTCAAAAATCATGACATTTCCAGTAAACCTGGGTCTGCTGATGTGATCTATACACTATCTTCACATTCTTCTTAATTTCATCAGATCTTATTTTGGATTTTTATCACTGTGGCTATTGCTTTATATCAAATTTGAACTCTGAAAACACATTTTTAGTATCTGGAACTGCGTATTTTCATTCCATTCTGGTTCACGAACATTGATTGCATCAGTTAGATTAAAACTGCACTGTCATTCAGTGTTGTTGTGTCTGCAGCACATCATACACAAACATGTTTTTGTCACACGTACTGGAATACAACGGTTTGTATTGATGACAATGAATGGATTTTACTTGGTGGTTTACAGAAGCTTGTGTAAAATCACAACCAAAGCTGGTAGTGTATGCCAGATCATTTATATTGACATAGTTTACTGTATGCTTCGCTTTTGTTGTCCTCCAGTGCCAAGAAGATGCAGAAGCAAGTGGAGATCAGAATGCATGAGAATCATCTGGATCCTCTTCCAGAGCCTGAAGAGTCCATATGTGGAAGCTGCTGTGACAAACTCATGAAGAACCTGCTTCTAACGCTCACTGTTCTGGGCAAGTCTTTCTTCATGTTTGTATAATCAGTGTGTATTAGTTTGTTTTGTACTTAATAAATGTTGCTAACAGGCAAAAAACAAACAAACAAACAAACAAAAAAACTTATTACTGTTTGTGCTAAATTATGCACTTTTTAAATGATGTGTTATATGACACCACATTTAGGTTAACCATGCATTGTAAAACACTACTGTAAAATTTAAAGTATTACAGGCAGTTTTGGTTGCCATTAAAATTATACAGTCTACAAGTTCACTGTAAAATAACAATAACAATTGTTATTGTTATCTATCTATCTATCTATCTATCTATCTATCTATCTATCTATCTATCTATCTATCTATCTATCTATCTATCTATCTATCTATCTATCTATCTATCTATCTATCTATCTATCTATCTATCTATCTATCTGTAAACTATAATCAAAATACTGAAATTGGATGATATATACTTTGAAAATTAAACTTGTCAGAAAAATTCATCTCTTGTTTGTCTAAATAAATAAATAAATAAATAAATAAATAAATAAATAAATAAATACAGGTCTTTTAGATTTGAGGCCTGTGCTTCATTTGTATCATTTACAAGCCGCTGAATGCCAAACATAGTTTATCACCCCCTTTTTGGCTTTAAGCCTTTTTAGGTGGTGTGGCATGTGCATTAGAAGAAATAGACTACAGAGAGTTAACGAAGGATTACTGCCATCAGTTGATAAATTGTGACTATATGCTATTCAAGCTATGCACAAGTTTGCATAAGACATTATATTTCATAACGTGTTAATTTATTCAGACTTCCTGATCCAAGCAGCTTCATACACGACCTAAAATAAAAATAAATAAAAACTAGTAATAACAAAAGTATATTTTGAGATTATTCTGTGAAGCTCCATGGTTTGTATTCATAATAACCCTTTAGATTACTGAACACATTTTTACCAAGAGTTTTAAATACTGCTTACTAAATTAAAAGTAAAGTAAATGTTATTGTAGATATGTTCAGATATGAGATTAAGGAAACATGAATCTATAGAATAAGGCAAAGATACCAAAGATAAGGTATAGAATAAAACAAGTGTTTTATAATTGTTTATTTATAGCCAATAGTTTAGTAATTTACATGCTAATAATTAAGCAATTAGTTGTCAAAAATGTGTTCCCTAATTTAAAGACTCACCATATTTACTTGCCGTGGCCAAACCATTAGATCACTTATAAAATAAAAGGCATATTTTTAAAGATTTGTAATGTATAGTAGTGTTCACTCATACTACACGCTCAGAAATAAAGTAAAGCGAATTTTCACTGGGATGGTACCTTTTCAACAGGGACAAATTTGTACTTAAAAAGGTCCAAATTGGTACCTCAAAAGTATATAGTAATGTATGTGTATAGTAATGTAAAATATGTACCCTTGAGGTATTAGTATGGACATTTTAGGTACAAATGTGTTCCTTTTGAAAAGATACCACTTCAATGACAGCTTGCGTACCTTTATTTCTGAGAGTGTATGTATAGTTTAAATGCTGACTAGTGTATCATCATTTTCTTTCTCTTCGGCTTAGTCCCTTTATTAATCTGGGGTCGCCACAGCGGAATGAACTGCCAACTTATCCAGCATATGTTTTACGTAGCGGATGCCCTTCCAGCCGCAACCCATCTCTGGGAAACATCCATACACACACATTCACACTCATACACTATGGATAATTTAGCCTACCCAATTCACCTGTATCGCATATCTTTGGACTGTGGGGGAAACCGGAGCACCCGGAGGAAACCCGTGCAAACGCGGGGATAACATGCAAACTCCACACAGAAACGCCAACTGACCCAGTCAAGGCACGAACCAGCGACCTACTTGCTGTGAGGCGACTGCACTACCTACTGCACCCAACACAATCTCACGGCAATTCGTAACTTTTTCATTTAGTGGCTAATTCGTATGAATTTGTACGATCTAATTCGTACAATTTAGTACAATTTGCTTATCCCCCAATGACGGTTGGGGTTAGAAGTGGGGTTAGGTGCCACGCCTCCTTTTTAAAATCGTACCATTTTGTACAACTTTAGCCACTAAACTGCCAAAACGTAAAATACTTACGTTTTCTCGTGAGATCAGGCTGACTGCACCACACGTCGCCTAGTTTATCTTTATGTATGTATATTAGCATTAAATGAATTGAATGTGCTGTTCCTGATGTTCCTCTGTGTGGCCCTCAGGTGTGATCACTGGTTCAGTAGCTGGTATTTTGCTGCGGTACGCATCACCACTGCCCGCTGATGTCATCATGGTCATTGCCTTCCCTGGCGACATTTTGATGAGGATGTTAAAAATGGTCATTTTGCCACTGATCATCTCAAGTTTGATCACAGGTATGGTTATACATACACACCTCCAGCCAGACTACATTGTGCTGTCAATATCCTTTTTATTTGTTTTTTATATTATTATTTTGTATGCTAATTAACTGACATAAAACCAGATTCATCAGTTAATTTATTATAAAATAAAAAAGTGTATTGTAATAATAATAATAATATGTGAATATATTGTAATTATTCTACCCTTGAATGAACACTTTGGTTAGTAGGGTTGACACTTTAAATTCAGTGTCAGCATTTCAAGCATATCACTTTATTAAGGGTGGATCAGTTTCAGTGGTTCATGAGCAGAAAGTTAAAACATGTTGCACAAAAGAGAGAGAGAGAGAAATATGTAAAACACCTCCAGCCATGCTAACAACACACAACAAAAATGCCTTGTTCTTGTGTTCTTGTATCTGTGTGTGTGTGTGTGTGTGTGTACTCTGGTGGACCAGCATGAAAAACAGTGCATCAGCAATTAATTATGTCACAAAAAAATAAAATAATAAAAATAAATAAATAAATAAATAAATAAATAAATAAATAATAATAATAATAATAATAATAATAATAATTATAATAATGAAATGATTAAAACTTTTATAATGTATTATTTAAAAATGCTTTCAAATTTTTTTTAAAGATTAGAAATATTATAACTTTTAGCTTAATAAAATATGCAATTACTTTTTAATAAATATTTAAATAATAATTTGTATTTATTCTGCCCTTGTTTGTCATTTTAGCCTTTTCTTTGTAATTCAGTATAAGATAAAAAGTATGCCTGTTTTTTGAGGGTGGATCAGTTTCAGTGGTTTATGAGAGCAACACGTTTCAACATGTTACAAAAAGAGAAAATAAAAAAATTGAATGTAAATTCCTAATATATTACTCATTCACAAATCACAGCAATAATTATGAAACCAAACCAGAGTAATAACCTCTGTCTACAAAACTGTACAATGATATAGTTAAAAAAGGATGGCATGGTAGCCTTGTCCCATATAGAAATGTAATATAAATGTATTAACTAAATACAATTATGTCATACATATAGTACATATTCAGAGTTCACATAAAGTATTTAAAATATATGTCATATATGCAATATATATTTTAAAATATTGCAAAAAATGTCTGTTTAAGTATATATTTTTTCAACTATTGGAATTACACATACAGTCAAAATGATTAGCCCCATTGAATTAATAGGCCTTATTTATTTTTTTCCTAGTTTCCATTTAATAGAAAGAAGATTTTTTCAACACATTTCTGAACATAATAGTTTTAATAACTCATTTCTAATAACCGATTTCTTCAATCTTAGCCATGATGACAGTACATAATGTTATTATCTGTATTTTCGGTATTATTGGTTTTTAGAATATTTATAAGCTAGATTGACCCAAAACAATCACATTTAGACAACAAAATTAACATTTAGAAGATATAAAACTGATATAAACATGTAAAGCTCGTAGTTTGTAACGTTTGTCCCATCAACAGCTTTATTCACGTCACCTCACACTACAGCTTCTAATCAAATCATAACCAATCAAATGCTCTTTAGTATCTGACATGCCCGCCCCATTCAAGACACAGGTCATTTCCTTTTCATTTGATACACTTGAGCTCAACCGCTCTGACTAGCAGAGCAAAACGCTATTGTTTTTTTTTAAAGGGGGAGGAGCTACTCTATATATGTCCCACCCTTTCGGTGTTTCAGTTTAGAATATGTCAAACATCGAACAAAACTGCATATTTCCAAGCACTTCATGGGACCTTTAATCATATCACATACAAAATTGACATATATTTGCATAGATCAGATTTGTATATGGGGTGAAAATGCATTGATGGTCGTAACGCTTTGCTGTTGTTTATCATAATAGTTATTATTATTCTTATTTCTTTTAGGTTTAGCTGGCTTGGATGCCAAGTCGAGTGGCCGCCTGGGCACAAGGGCCATGATTTACTACATGTCCACCACTGTCATCGCAGCTGTGCTGGGGGTGATTCTGGTGCTCCTCATCCACCCTGGAAACCCCAAACTCAAGGCAAACCTGGGCGAGGGCAAAAAGAATGACGAAGTGTCCAGTTTAGATGCCTTCTTTGATCTCATCCGAAATCTGTTTCCAGAAAATCTCGTTCAGGCTTGTTTCCAGCAGGTTTGTGTTCCTAGAGTGCTTTGTTTTTTTATTTAATCTCATTCTTTAAACTTATTCTGTAAATTTTATAACAGTTAATGGTCTCTCGTTAATATTCAATGTCTTAATGATTCATATAAAATGTCTTTTAGATCCAGACTGTTACTACTAAGGTGGAAATCGCTCCTCCTCCCCCTCCAACTCGGTTTGGACGAAACGCTACCAAGGGTGCAGCGAAATATGTGATCAAGAAATCTCTTCAGTTCAAGAGCGGCATGAATGTGTTAGGTATCAAATGGCTTCATGATATATGCATGAAAAGATCATTAACGTACATCGCATTAAGATGATGTGTTATGTGTTCTTGTAGGTATCATTGGTTTCTTTGTGGCATTTGGGATTTGCATGGGAAAGATGGGAGAGAAGGCCAAACTGATGGTTGATTTCTTCAACACTCTCAATGAGATCGTTATGAGGCTTGTCGGCATGATCATGTGGTCAGTATTCATGATTTTAATCCCATTGATCACATTTCATACTATTTTTTGACTGATTTATTTACTGTGCAGATAAAGTACACTGTAAAAAGCAATTAGTTGACTTTACTAAATAAAAACATGTCAACTAAATATGTCGCCTTATGATTATTAGGTAAACAAATTAAAAGTTAAGTCAATGTATGCCTTTTTGTAAGTCAAATTAATTTGTTGCCTTTTAAGCAGCAAGTTTACTTCACTTTTTGGAGTGCATATAGTAGTCAACATTTCAAGTGGATCAACAAGTTCTAAAACTTTTAAACAACACTCATTACTACGGAGACCCGGAAAGGACATGAATGAGGTGGAAAAAATGGATGGGAGAAAAAAAAACTGAGTGATAGAAAAATTTTTTTTCTTTAAGTTTTTGCGTTCCCTCGTAAAAATGTTCCACAAATACTTTCTGTTCACTTCATACACATCAACCTTCCCATTTTTTTGCTGTGATTCTCCTTTATTTTACCATTCTATCTCGCTATTATCTTATCATTAGGTATTTTACCATATTTCTCTCACATTTTTAATCTTGAAAGCATGCTGAAATTAATATGAAATGTCTGAATTGATGTGCGTCGATTGTAGCCCTTCCAATGCAACCTCTGAATCAGTGACTGCATGTATAAGCACTCATTGATGGATGCGCTGTGTTTGATAAACTGATCCCAGATCAGCTTCTCATTCATTCATTTTCTTTTCAGCTTAGTCCCATTATTAATCTGGGGTTGCCACAGCGGAATGAACTGCCAAATCAGCTTCTGTACACGCCATTTAGAGGAGCTAAAGTGCTGGACACTTTGGGATTTGGGTGTGTGTTTAAACAGAATACTTATATGAATAATATGTAAACATACATTCATCCAGCATTTTTTAGAGCACAACTAATTTAGTCTTAAACCAGCACAAACAGTTACTGAAGTAATAAAGTGCTTTCATTATAGATCTGTGCATTCTTATAATGACACCTCTGTTATCAAATAAAACAAAACAAGATATTTATTTGCTGCTCTGTATTTGATGAGGTTGCATGTGAAGGGTAACGATCAATGAACAGCATTAATGGAAAGAGGACGAATGTAGACATTTTTATATTAATTTCAACATGCTTTCAAGATTAAAAATATGAGAGAAATATGGGAAAATACTTAAATGGGATGATAGAAGGATAGAATTGTAAAACTTAAACTTAAAGTGAACTTCAACTCTGAAAACTGCACTGACACAGCTTCTACTAGAACTTCTATGTTAAGCTGCTTTGACACAATCTACATTGCAAATGTGCTATGGAAATAAACATAAAATTAATTAAATTTAATTTAATTAAAATACAGGAAAATCCCGGCAAAATTGGGAGGTTTAACATGTGTGAAGTGAACAGGAAGTGTTTGTGGAAAACTTAAAAAATAAATATTTTCCTATTGATTTTTAAAATGTCTTTCTTACACACATTTTTTTTTTTCGTACACACATTTTTTTTCCTACACCCATTTTTTTTTCTTACATCTATTTTTCCCCCACCATCATACCCCTTACGGGTCTCCGTACCATTCCTGTCTTAAAAGCTATATTTTTAGTTTATTCTACACTACTATTTAAACTTTTGGGTAATAGAATTATTTGTAAACACATCTCTTCTGACCAATCCTGAATTTATCTGATGAAAACAAACCGTTAAAAAAAAAAAAAAAAAAAAAAAAAAAAAAAAAAATATATATATATATATATATATATATATATATATATATATATATATATATATATATATATATATATATATATATATAATCATAATTAGTTTAAAATAACTTTAAATATTTTTTATTTCTACTTTAAAAAAAATGCAGCTCTTTAGTGTCAAAGCATCCTTCAGACATTATTCTGATTTGTCTTTTGGGGGTATTAGGACACATTTCTCAATATTAACTAACTACATATAACTTGAATTTGTGTGTGGCAATTGTGATACTGTGATTTTACCTTTATTATAAATGTTTTATTATATATGCATTTTCAGAAGAGCTGTTCAGTTTAATACATCACTGCTGAATAAAACTATTTGATTGATTAATTGACTTTAGTTTATTGGACTTTTGCTAAATAAAATATGAATGTATTTGATCACGCTTTGCTGCATGGTATAACAAACCCTTAACTAAGTATTTTATCTCAATAATCTCCTAATTGGCTGCTTATTAATATTTTTAGGTTTAGATATTGGGTAGGACTAGAGATGTAGAATAAGATCATTCTTTATGAGTACTAATAAAAAGCCAGTATCATAATAATAAACATGTAATAAGCTAGCAGTTAATTGTGTGAATACTGAAACTAAGGTGTTCCCATTTCCTTGTGTAGTGTGTTTTTGTTTACTGTATTTGTTTCCTTTAACTTTATTAAACTGACCAACTATATTTCCTGTTGAAGGTGTAGTTTAGCTATTAATTTGTTTTTCTGTCCTGTCACAGGTATTCCCCCATTGGTATTGCGTGTTTGATCTGTGGGAAGATCATCTCCATTAATGATCTGGAAATGGTGGCCAAACAACTGGGCATGTACATGGTCACGGTCATCGTTGGACTCATTATTCATGGAGGCATATTTCTTCCCTTAATATATTTTGTAATCGTTCGGAAAAACCCATTCAAATTCTTCATGGGACTTTTCCAAGCTTGGGTCACCGCCTTAGGAACAGCTTCCAGGTTAGTCACTTTCCTTTAATTATGTTTTCCCTTAGATATTTGTATGACACACGTTGAACTAAAGAGTTTAGTTTGTTATGTTTGGTTGTGTCTCAATTTTTGATATGCAATTTTTGTAGTGCTGGCACATTACCTGTCACTTTCCGCTGCTTGGAAGAAAATCTGGGTATCGACAAGAGAGTGACGCGATTCGTGTTACCTGTTGGAGCAACCATCAACATGGACGGTACTGCACTTTATGAGGCCGTAGCTGCCATTTTTATTGCCCAGATGAATGGAATCGAACTTGATCCTGGTCAGATCGTGACAGTCAGGTAAGAGCAAATTTCTAGACAAAAAAAATAAACAATTTAGTATAAATTTACAATACATTGTTTGTACCACAACATTATTTTTGTTGCTCATTCATTGCTCATGCTCATTGTAAACACTGCCAACACATGCTTCAGTCCAACTTCTATATACTACACTCTCAGAAATAAAAGTATGCAAGCTTTCACTGGGGTGGTACCTTTTCAAAAGGTACAAATTTGTACTTAAAGGGTCCATATACACTGAAAAAAGTGTTGCATGCAGAACTGTTGCAAACAATTTATTTGTGTTGAATTTAAACAAACAAATTAAGTTTAATAATGTTCAACTTAATTTGTTTGTTTAAATTCAACACAAATAAATTGTTTACAACCACTTAACGTAAAAAAATTGAGTAAATCCAAGGAATCATCTCTGAATAATTTTTTTCAGTGTAGGTACCTCAAACATATTCATTAGTACCTTAAAATTTTATGGGGAACTCTTTTGGAACTCTTTTGGAACTTTTTAGGTACGAATATGTACTCTTGAGGTATTAATAAGTTACCACCCCAGCGACAACTTGCATACTTTTATTTCTAAGAGTGTAGGAGGCATGAAAACACCAACAAAAAATTATTTCATGAGCAGATTATAGACAAATAAACCTTCTATTTTATTTAATAATTAATTTTTTGGTTTGTGAAGACCTCAACATAAACAATAAGCTTCATTTGTAAACAAATACATTTGTTTCACGTATCTCCATATGAACTGCTTTTATGACATAGTTTGCTTGGTACGTAAGACACTGTAAAAATAATAACAATAAAAATGCAAATGGAGTTTTGTGTCACATTTGTTTTTGAGAACACTTGGTTTACAATTAGTGCACACACTATATGGTTTAATTGTTTAGTAGCAGTTTTCTAATCAAATCTGAAATCACAAATATATAAATGCAATATCAAACATTTGTAATTGTTTCTTTGCATTTTGAAAAAAATATCCTTTAATTTTATAGCATTGCACCCATGTGAACTCCAGAAGTGTGCGGGTGTGTGTGTTTATTTCTGTGTTCACACAGGTGTGGTGAGGGCACAAAAACTTCCTAAAAGTTCAATTCCCTCGTGAGGCCCGACCAAAATATCCTTATTACCAATTGGTACACCGCATGCACCATGATAAATGATGCACATCAAAGCTGAAATTTAGTATAATTCAAAGACGAGTCAGAATCCAACTTAAAATTGGACTAAAATTACAGAGTGTATTCCTAGCATAAACTGGCTGGTGATGAGCTGGATTAAGCTTGTCCTTTGCTGGTCCTGACCAGGGTTGTTGCTAGATCGGATATGGTTGCGGCCAGAAATTAAAGTGAATTATTTATATTATTCATAAAATTTTCCATTTACTGTATTTTATTAACGTCTACCCCCACCCCAACCTTAAACCCAACCATCACAGTACTGTAAAATATTAATTATTGTTATACAGTGTCATAAAATGCTGCTATATTAATGTGCATAACACACTTCCGGCCGGCCGCGCATCTGATCTAGACTTTACCCCTGACCAGCTATGAACCAGCAAGAACTTGCACATAAATAGCAACAAACAAGCTTAAACTAGCAGCCAAGTCAAAATCTATCTATGCAGCATATTTCTTCTGCTTTTAGTGGCGTTGCGGTGTAGTGTACGTGATACATACTGCAAACAACACCCTTTTGAGGATATATGAATATGAATAAACACTTAATTTCAGCATTTATTTTGGCCTAATATGGTCTGATGCAAGAATTATAGAAAACTAGAAATCTACTTCAACTCCTTCCGTTAAGTTTAGCTACAATCAAATTTGAGTTCACAATTTTTTTTTTTAGTAGGTACAATGTATTTTAATAAATAGGGTGAAATGGCACAATTTTATGTTTTTTTTTTTTTTTGACACTGATGCAGTCACACTGCTGAAATGTTTGTTTTTTTGTTTTCTCCTATAATCTATTTAACCAATTAGTGAGTGCAGACCTTCATTGCTAGTTGTCATTTAAAGATATTTGGTCACAGCACCAAACTTATCTGGGAGAGCTCTGTGATTTACATTTTACTGAGCGTTTTGTCTTTGTCTTTTTACAAGTTGTTTGTCCAATAAGTGTCAAAGATTATCTTTATGTCTCAAACTATTCTTTATGAAACTGAAAACATCCACACCTTCCTAAAATCTATCATTAAAACTTACATCATTTGATGTGAAGATTTTCAAAACACTGCCCAAATGTATACTTAAGAAAAGAAAGCATAATTTTTAATCTCACATGTTGTGGAGATGCTGTTTGTGGCCAGTCCAAAAGCCTAGCCCTCATATATGAATGAAATTATACAAATAAATAACAATTAGCCATTAAATAAAAAAAAGTTTCGAACTGTCTTGAGATTGCATTGGGTGCTCGTTAGGTGCCAATCACGATACAATGAAAAGTTGACTAATCAGAGCACTGTGTGCTATTCAGTTTGTTGAGCTGTGTAAAGATAAACACATTTCAGAAAGAGAGATGAGCAACAATAATAGACGGTCTGTGGGAAAATTGTGTGTTTTATAACTTAAACCATGTAAACACATTGCATTACACCAATTACACGTCATAACCATGACCTGTTATGACATTAATTAATTGCATTTTTCATTTTACTGAGCAGCTAGTCTTATCTAAAACCTTTTTCCTTTTTGTTTGTAGCCTGACGGCCACTCTGGCTAGTGTTGGAGCAGCCAGTATTCCCAGTGCTGGTTTGGTGACAATGCTTCTGATCTTGACAGCTGTTGGACTGCCGACTCAAGACATCAGTTTACTGGTAGCAGTCGACTGGCTTCTGTAAGTTAAAGCAATCTCAGATGTTACTTTAAGCAATTGCTGTCCATCACAATATAGGCTCATTCTAAAAAAGTAGCCCTATATACGTTTCTGGAGATTACAAATAATGTAGCCAAAAGTATGTGTAGTTGCATTTCGTCTCTAAAACGAATGCTACGGGGTGGTATGATGCCGTTCCTTTTCGCGCTGACACCAACCCAACTCCTTATGAACTGCTTTCCCACTGTTCCAGTCTGTCCAGTAGCTCGCCATGTACGCAGGCAGACTTGAGATGCATAGAGGAGTTGACCATGACAACGGGGTGTGAGTCTGGTAAAGAACGCTCCCAGAAATGAAGGCAAAAAACAAGCCTAAAAATCAAATAATCAGGTAAATAACCGGGTAAGAATGTGGTAAAATCTGAAAATGCGGAAAAAAAATTAGGCGAAAAATTTTTCTGGTTTGCTTTTTAAATCTGTAGGTTGAGGTTAGGGAAGTTGGTGGGTGGGTCAGTCGGTGCTTTTAAAAACACTATTAATTGGGTTTAGGAAAGGAGGAGGGTGGGTCAGTCGATCGGTCAGTCAGTGAGTTGGTCAGTCCACTCTGGTGGATTTACAGAACAGCAGGCACGAATGGCACTCGCGAGAGAAATTTGAGATCTAAAATAGCGTACACAGCAGCCTTTGGTGGATTCACGAAAATGAAAACTGCAAAAAAAAAAGTAGCTCCTGGGACGTATTTGGCACTCTCCAGAAATGTATATAGTGGTACGTTTTCAGAATGAGTCTGGGTTGGTCAATCAAGAGTATGGCTCATTTTAAGTTTTAGCATTAACTAAAATCTCATGACATATTTACACATTTGCGTTTCATGTTAGGACAAGCCCTAATGGCATTTATATGTCGTTTAGCCTTGAGAGATGTGGCACCTCTTTGTTCCCTTCTGCTTTATCAAACAGGGATCGCTTCCGAACATCAGTCAATGTCATTGGCGACTCGTACGGGGCAGGAATCGTGTACCACCTCTCTAAAGATGAGCTTGACATGTTCGATGCACAGCAGATTCGGCCAGATGACTTTGAGATGGCCAAGACACAGTCCTATTACGAGAATAACTCTAACCACGGTGTATATCACAACTCCTGTCAGCCGATCCAAATAGATGACTGCAAGGTACATTTCACTCTCACTGACATAGAAACCTGTATGTAGATGCTTTCTTTTCATTCCTTAACTTTGTATGTATCATTGTGATTTTATTTTATTTTTTTTACTCTTTTGTATTTTTGATCATTGCTGATGTGAATGCACAAGAGATGAAATTATATAAAAGAATAAATAAATATTGTTTATTTATTTGTTCTGGTACTTGGTGAAATGGCAGTTTTGGGCAGGCTTTGCCCATATCAGTGGTTAGATCTGATGAATTTGGCAGTTGCATGTGTACACTTTAAAAAATAAAGGAAGTTTATTGGCATTGATGGTTCCATGAATAACCTTTAACTATCACACAAAATAATGTTGATTATGTACAATTCTAGATTATTAAAGTGATACTTCACCCAAAATGAGCATTTTCTCAGCATTTACTCACCTCTGGTGGTTCCAAACCTTTATTAGTTTTTTAATTGAAAAACTATTTTTAAAAATGTGTGAAACTAATAGTGATGGCGTGTTCTCCCAGTGTTGGCATGGTTGTCCTCTGAGTGCTCCAGTTCCCCCACAGTCTAAAGACATGCGCTATAGGTAAATTGGATAAATTAAATTGCCCGTAGTCGATGAGTGTACATGTGAATGAGTGTGTATTGGTGTTTCCCAGCACTGGGTCGCGGCTGGAAGGGCATCTATTGCGTAAAACATATGCCGGAATACAGTGCTTAATTTGGAAAGGAATAATTCCCGGAACAAAATCAGGAAATAAAAGTTACCAAGATCGACGTCCAGTTTTCCCGGAACATGACATCATTAAACGGTGATTGCACATAAAAAGAGTCACTTTTCTGAACAGTCTTTTAATATTTTGTGCTATATATAATGTTATAGGTCAGTCATGGATAGTAAAAACATGTAGCTACAAACCGTATAAAATAAATAATATTTGTGCAGTTTCAATCACTATTTGGTTCACTTGACTATTATATGCCAGGTGAAAAACAAATAATTAAATGACTCACTCAGTCTAATCTTCAAGAAGAGCCCACAGTTACCTCTTCTCTCACATTTTTGGCTGACTTGAGATCGCTTTGTTTCTTCCGCTATCCTGATTAATTCGTGCAGTTGCATCTTCTCAATAGCTCTTTTGATCAGGCTCATTATCAGATTTACTATTGGTTTTAAAATTTTTTAATATAAATTAAAATGCAAAATATAAAATGACTGTATCTTTGCCATTTTTAAAATACAAATATTATCTAGGTGGGACACTGTGCCATTATTTATTTTGATTTATTCACTGCGCGCGAAACAACAATCATCAACCAATGAGAAACATAAACATGAGAAAGCTGATTGGCTTAAAAAAATTGTTGAGGCCCAATAGTTTTGTTTTAACTTGCGCATGGTGACTACTATTATGTGTGTGCACTGCACGCACACACTCCACACAGCGTTTGCATTCATGTTCTCCCCCCCTCTCTCTTTCTCACACACACACGCACACACACACACACACACACAAACACGTAGGTATTCACCGCGCACAAGTTTACTGCACACAAATTAAAATAAATACCAGAACACAAAACAGGAATATCAGACATTTTCCGTAACAGGATCCGGCAAGATCCAACTCAAATTTAGCTCTGCTGTAATAGTTGGCGGTTTATTCGGTTGTGGCGACCTCTGAAATAGAGACTAAGCTGAAGAAAAATGAATGAATGAATGAATGAATGAATGAATGAATGAAGGAATGAATGAATGAAACCAGTAGCTGTTGCTGCTATTATAAAATACTCAGTCAGTGGCTACCAGTTCACAATGTAATATCTTCGAAAAAAAAAAAAAAAGTTTTCTTTTGAAAAGATAAAAAATAAATAAATGTCAAAAATGAATCTCAACTGAGATTTTCTTTGGGTGAAGCATCCCTTTAAAATTTTCTTCACACTTAAAAATTATCTTTGAAAGCAGTTTTGGAAAACCCCAAATAGTTCTTCAATGCCATCACTGTAAAAAAAAAAAAAAAAACCTTTTTGGAACCTTTATTTTTTAGAATGTACAGAAAATATCTAGTATCAATCAATGCCAAGCTGCCTTTTGTCGAGTAAAAATCAAAAGAGAGTCAAATCAGCATATAAATGCAAAGACAAAAGCTGCTATTTCATTTCTTTCAAGCTCAGTGTTTTTAAGCTTGACAGAAAAGTGACTATTATAAGAAAACACCATTATTTTCTTTCTCTTTTTTTATGAATTCATGCCACTTTTCACTGCACTTGAGTAGACATTTCGACCCTGTGTTTCACAGATGCATAGGTTTGTGTGGTAGCACGCATGGCACTTTTTCACACCCCCCTTTAGAAGACTAGCTTTGGACAGAGATTCACCTAAAATTAGGAAATAAAAAAGAATGCAAAGTTTACAATGATTCAAATGATTTTCTCTATCTGCATTCAGACTTTCAGCATTCTGTAAGGAATCCCGCTGCAGCTAATTATTATCTGTCATGTGGTGGGTACATTTTTGTGAATTTGGAATTATAAACTGTGCTGTTAAAATATCAAACTACCTGAATTCTCTGCTCCAAACCCTAAACAGTTTAGTTAGCACCGGTTAATGCATTTTAACTGTGCCTTGGTCCAACAGTTAGTTGTCCCTGATAATTGCTTTCAGGTAACCTTGGCCTCAAATGGCTCCCCTGCGGAGTTCTCACTTGTTGAGGAGGAACCATGGATTCGCGAGTAACACAGCACACAGATCCAGCACCGCCTTATCCTGAGTCCCACAAGCTTATCCTTTCTGCTGAAAACCAAATGCTAACATTATGCATATAAACAGTCAGAAGTTTTCACACATTTTTTCACATGCACAAACACCTTGTTTTTTTGTATTACAATCTCAGTACATCTGAATTTAGCTGGCACTGATTGTGGTTCATACGGGGTATATATATATATATATATATATATATATATATAGTTTTAGGATTGATGATTGGTCTATAACCTGCTGCCTTAGGGCTATCGACCCCAGACTGACCCTAAAGCACCACTAGTGGCAGGTAGACAGAAGTGCAGCTTGTTTGCTGACCATACCTTTGACTAGTTTGGCTTAGGTGGATTAACCCTTGGTAGCGGCACTCCAGATCAGCCTCTTATAAGAGCTTACCAATGTACTTAGAGGTTCGGAAATAGCCGTTTGCCTCCAAATGCTGCCACTTATTTTTAGACGCCGCTCAACGTAATTGCCACGTCAGCAATTAGAGAGCATTCAGACATCGAGTTGATCGACGTTATCTGACAGTACTGTTGGTTGTGATATACTGTTGGCTTGTGAAGTGAACTGTTTGATATGTTTAAGGGACTTGCATGTGTGTAGGTTTTGTACGTATCTGTGTGCTTTGTTAAGTTGTCGATTTATTTATATGTTTATTTGCTAAGTTGCAATCTTGCCTTGAAGACATCAACTGCAAACTGTGCAGAGAGAAGACGATAATATTAAATGAAATCCCATTTGTTTGGATGCTAGATCACTGATAGTGATTCTCAGAGGAGCCTTCTTGGATGCTCGGATATTACGTCCAGTTAAATGGATTCTTTATTGGCCCTCATGTATTTGGTGCTCAGGTTGTTAGCATGTTATTCGAACAGAAAAACAAGATGACAGATTTGAGATCTATCGTTAAGCATGCACCATTTATTTGATAGTATCTACGTTGTTTAATAGCAAAACAATCAAGATTCCTCTTTTGCACCAGAATCTTAAAATGTTCTCATTAAAGTGCCTCCTTGCACTTTCTGTAAATAAATAAATACACACACAAATATATAATCTGTTTTATTTTAGATTTATTTTTCATGCAAACTAATGTGTAGTATTAATCACCTGTCGGCTATTGTTTTATAAAACAATCGCATTTCATGTATTCAATTCAGTATATTATTTTACTAGATTAGAGTATAACAGGTTGTCTTGAGTAGTTATCATTATTGTATACTGTACACATCACTGGGAACAGGTGGCTGTGAAATATTGTTTGATGAGTACAAATGTGTGTATATGAATGCAAGTATTTTTTCACTGTTACAATTCATGACGAGAATGTGTCTCACATATTGTGTTAAACATTTTGGTAGGGATTATGACTAGGGGGAAAAGTCAAATAACTAATTATTATAACTAAGGCTCATTGAGTGCAGAGAAAATTATGTAAATTCAATGTAAATGTAAATAAAGGAAATTGTACACAACTTAGAGACAGTATCTATGATATGAATATGTGCGCTGTTGGCATATGTGTTCAGGCAGGGCCTGACATTTCTGTAGACAAACGGTACTATGATGTATGCTATAAATGTGACCATCCTTCTCTTTTTATTATCTGCAACCCTGTTTGGTTTCAAAGACATCAAGTAACTTTGTCTACCAAACTGTCCACTTTATAAAATTTGTCTTTTTTCTCTGTTTTCTATGAAACACCTTTAACCAATTGTAAATAAAGCCAATTCTTCTTGTCTCAGCTGGGCGTCTTGTTTTTCTTTAGTTTAGCCATGACTAGTGGCAGGTGAGAAATTATTTTATTAAAGATGTCTTACTCAAATCATTGGAGGAAACCGATTGGAACAAACCATTTAAGTTCAAAAACTAATCCTAATGAGTACTGTGAACTTAATCCATTTCAGTTAATAAAGCAATTTGGACACAGTAAAAACCAATAAATAAGGAGAACTCAAACCAATTGAGTACTGTAAAACCCAATAAGTTAAGGCAACTCAAACCGTTTAAGGAAACTGATTGCCATAAACTATTTGAGTTAAAAAAATAATCTATATGAGTACTGTAAACTTTCTCCATTTAAGTTGAAGTAATGAGGTATTTAATTAAGTTATTGACTTCATCACTGAGTTCAAAACTGTTTTCAAATGTAGTAGAATTAACTTTCAGTTAATTTTGAGTTGGCGACGGGGTGGCACAGTACGTAGTTCTGTCGCCTCACAGCAAGAAGATCGCTGGTTTAAGCCTCGGCTGGGTCAGTTGGCATTTCTCTGTGGAGTTTGTATGTTCTCCCCGCATTTGCGTGGGTTTCCTCTGGGAGTTCCGGTTTCCCCCACATTTCCAAAGACGTGGTACAGGTGAATTAGGTAAGCTAAATTGTCAGTGGTGTATGTGTGTGAAAGAGAGTGTATGGTTGTTTCCCAGTGATAGGTTGCAGCTGGAAGAACATCTGCTGAGTAAAACATATGTTGGATAAGTTGTCGGTTCATTCAGCTGTGGCGACTCCAGGTTTATAAAGGGACTAAACCAAAAAGAACCTAACCATCTTTTTCGCCTTTCCCAATTTTCTTTAGCCAAAGGATGTGAAATACTTCTCATTAAACTATGTAAATGTGCTTTACTATCTGTAGTAAAAACAATATTAATTTATGTCTTTATAATATCATTTAACATCTCACTCATCATTTTTACTCGCATTCCTTTCTTAAATTGAATTACATTTTATTAAATGACTCATCCCACAAGAAATATGCTGCGAGAGCGGACGTAATTCATCTTTATTTGTAACTTAATGAAGGCAAAGACATACAGTGGCTTCACTGAAATACGAACTGGATAGGGTTTTCTCTATTTCTAAAAGACAAGGCAACGTCAACATTCCAAAATGCATTATCACAAACAGTACATAGTACTTACAAACAGATGAAAACCAGTGTTAAAATGTTTTTTCGCCATATCATTCTCAACAATCAGTTGATAAGCTAGAAAGCATTTTCTGTAAGTGAAAAAAACTGTTAAGTAACAAAATGGCAGCAAATGACACAACGAATCTAACAAATAACAGAAACAAAAACATAATCAGTGCAAACAAGAGTAACCAGAACTGAAAAAACAAAACAAAACATACGCTTGATTTGGTATACTGCTAAACATTATTGTGATCTGTTGTTGGAGCTCAGTCTTAGGCTCTCAGTGTTCACCATTTTCAATCAGCTCACCTCTTTTACATTAAATATTCTTTTTCGTGTTCATCTGCAGCTGTTATGTCCACTGTTTGCCCATTTTTCATGTTCGTAACATTCATCAGTGCCACAATCTCCTGCTCTTTCTCTGACAGCGGCAGCGTTTCTGTTTTACTGTAGTCTTTGTTGTTCTTTTCAGTTGTGATGTCTGCACTCTTACTCGGTCCGTACCACCTAAATAAGGAGTTACATTTAGTAAACTGAAAACTGCAGAGGCCAATGAATGTGATGAATTCACAAAATGAAAGAAATGTTGATCTAATAACTTACTTGTCTCTAGTGCCAATAGCCACAAATATGCATACTATGACTCCAATAAACACACAGAATGCAGTAATTATCATCCAAGTAGCTGAAGGGAGAAGATTGAAAGATTTACATGATGCTAATTAAAGATCGAAGAATTATGGCTTCTGTAGTGCTGTTGCATGAACTTACAAGACGATCCATCTGAAACCATCTCCTTCGCATTACTTTCTGTTGTTGAAAATACATTCACTCGTCTTGGTTCCTTGACTGTTGTAAGATGTAAGGATTGAAAATAGTAACATTAATAAGATATTGTCATTGATATAAACCAGTATGCATTTTTATTAATCATTCATTAAAAAAATGTTTATGTGACTATATAATAATAAGTGAATATATCATGACTTTGTCTGAATTACTACAGTAAAAATATAAAATAATGTTTATATATTAAACCAAAAAAAAAAAAAAAAAACTTGTGTCACTTGTGTGCATACATAATTTTCACTGTGCATAAACAGAAAAAAAACATGCTTTTTGGTATGAGAGAAACATTAAGCTGTTACTTTATGAGTCAGAAATATTGATTATGGACTGTTTGCAAAACAGTCTGCTTGAACAAAGCCAAACAGAAATGCAGCAAAAGGCATAATAAAACTCAAATCACTGCTTTTTTGAGGGGGATTTTAAAATTATATATAGTAAAACCAACCCTAGGCTTCTTTTTTTACTGAAGTAGTTAGATATTTATTTATAATAAAAAGATGGACATGCAGCTCTTTAGCAGTATTGTGTGTTCATTATATAGCATTGGCTACAGCAAAGGTCATTTCATTATACTGTTGAAGTCAAAATTATTAGCCCCCCTTAATTATTAGCTCCCCTGTTTATTTTTTCCCCCTCAATTTTTGTTTAACACACATTTCTAAACATAATAGTTTTAATAATTCACCTCTAATCTCTGATTTATTTTATCTTTGCCATGATGACAGTAAATAATATTTTACTAGATATTTTTCAATACACTTCTATATAGCTTAAAGTGACATTTAAAGGCTTAACTAGGTTAATTAGGTTAACTAGGCTGGTTAGGGCAAAATAGGCAAGTCATTGTGTAAGGATGGTTTATGCTGTAGACTATCCAAAATAAAATTAGCTTAAAAGGGCTAATAATTTTGACCATAAAATGGTGTTTAGAAAATTAAAAACTGCTTTTAGTCTAGCTGAAATACAACAAATAAGACTTTCTCCAGAAGAAAAAATATTATCAGACATACTGTGAAAATTTCCTTGTTCTGTTAAACATAATTTGGGAAATATTTAAAAAAGAAAAAAAATCAAAGGGGGGCTAATAATTCTGACTTCAACTGTAGGTTTGTATAGGCTTATGATGGATTTTGTGTTCAAAGATGGATTAACTACTTATTTTTTACTTGTTTTTTTCAGCTATTGTCAATGACCCTTTCCAAATAAACTAGTTATCTGTTATTATGTTTTTATTATGTTATTATATTATATTATATTATATTATATTATGTTTATTTTTTTTTCATCCAAGCTGATAATAAGCCTATTTATTTAAAATTATATCTGTCAGTTCACATGACATCTTTTCAGATTTTAGTATGTGTATTACCTTTGAATAACATTAATAAGGGTAGATAATCACAAACAGAACAGCACTTTTTTTGCAAAATTTAGTTTTTAAAAAAATGTATAGAAGCCCAAAAGTAACAAAATATTTTAACCAGTGTTAAACCAGTGGAGTACCGCATTACTACACATAAGTAACACAAGTTACATAATAATATGACTTTTCTAAGTAACAAGTAAAGTAACACATTACTTTTCAGAAATAAGTAATACTATTTGAGTGACTTTTTTTGAAAATGTAACTCAAGTTACTTTATAGTTTAATTACTTTTAAAATAATTGCTGAATTAAAAGGAAAGTAGTCATAATGAATCACACAGTCAATGAGAGAATGTGTTCACTATGTTAAACACATTGAAAAAAAAGGAAAAAAGGGCATTATAGTATCAATGGACAGCGATTTTACTTAAAACAAAAAGTACAAAAGTAGCAAACACATTGCTTTAAACTTTCAATAAACTATATATTCATAATGTATGACTCTGGGGTCAAGAAGTTCTCAGATTACATGCTAAAATAAATTTGAAATGATGTGTTTTTTAAAGGTAGATGTAGGTGTAGGTTATACAGTGCATTGTTAATTGCAGAGATCCTCTATTAAAAAGATGTTCTAAAAGAGATCAAGCCTCAGCCTGGTTATAAAAAGTAATAGAAAAGGAACTCAAAAGTAACGTAATGCATTACTTATCATGAAGAGTACCAAAGTAGAGCAACTAGTTTGGGGAGTAACTCAATATTGTAATGCATTACTTTCAAAATTAACTTTCCTCAACACTGATTGTAAGTAAACAGGTCTCGACAATAATTATTATCTAATTGGTGTGAACTGATCGATATATTAGTATAATTAACTTATGTGACAAGCTTTATGTAATGCCATAGTGCCGAGCGCACTTTATTCTGGATGATGTTTTGGGTAACTGATTAAGTAAAATGCATATAAATGTAAACGCACACAGGCAATTTTCATGTTAGAAAATATTTTAAATTAAAAGTAAAAATGATTTAAGGCATATGTTTTACCATTTTATGCACCTCCAGATGATGTAAAACACTGATAACAATTAAAATGTAGCATGCGACTATTGATGGGCAAACTAACTGTAAATTCACACTGCACTGACAGATGGTGACCAACATGTTCAGTCACTAGATTATACAGTACAGCGATTCTCAGATGTTCTACAACCCACCAAATACAGCTAACATGTCATGGCAACTTAATAGAAGCCTTTTTTAGACATTTTTCTAAAGTGATTTATAACCACACTATTCATTATAAAATAACAATTTAAAGCCACATCAATAGAACCAAAGTTACATTGTACGGTATAAAGTAAAAGTTATGTTTTTGAATAAACATGCCTCCATTTACATTTTTTCTTGATTGCTTTGATGCAGCCGTCAACTGAAACTCCACATTTTCAAAACAGTTAACACGCAGGCCTAAACAGCAGCACTCATGGTCAAAATGACACATTGTGCTTGCAAAACGCACATACCGTGTCAAAACATTTACAATATGCAACAAAAGCTAGTTTTACCTTCAAACAACACAACTTGCAAACAAGTATATGAACTCTTTCAATTAATCATTAAATAATGGAAAACAAAAAAACAAAATACAGAGCTCAATGTGAATCAGTGCACCATTGCTTGACATTGTAGTCTATTGCCAAAGCCGTTTGTTGTCTTTCTATTTGGGCTGTCAAATTTGCCTTTTTGCAAAAGAATTGGATCCAGAATAAGAAATGCTTTGATTCAATTTATATTGAATTTAGTACATTTTTCAAACTGTGGCTAAAAACTGAAATACTGTTAAAATAATAATAATAATAATAATAATAATTAAATAAAAAAAACAGGCAAAAGTAAAAAAGTACTGTAAATATTACAGAAAATACATGTAAACCAATATACAGTCAAATCTGTAGGGAGTATAGGACATACCACAACACAGACCTTCCACCGTTTTTAATGTTTGCGGACTGATTGCTAAATGACAATTTGTGTAAAAAAGTACTGATCTTGGTAGTTTCAAATGGTTAGGAATAGATGGTTTCTGTTTGGTTACCATAGCTAAAACAATGGAGTTTGGCCTGCTTGAATGACATTCGTGTTAACTGTCTTGAAAAATGGTAAGGAAAATGCGTCAACCCAATGAGAAAGGGTTGACACATTAGCAAGACCTGTCTTCTGCTTTGCTGGTATAGTGATAATGAAAATGAAATGGAACCTAGTTTCTTTAACCAGGTAAAAGCAAACATGAAAAACTGTAAAAAAAAAAAAGACAGGCCCATAAATTTTACAGTATGCCACACAATTGACCTAAACCAGCTTAACAATATCCAGCATATAAAGACATGTAGTGTGTATTTGTAGTAACATTTACCTTGAATGGGGTTCACATTTGAAGTCTCTACTGGAACCACCATCTCTTCATTCTCTTCAATAACGTTTTCAATTAAATTACTCTTCGCTGTCTCTGTAGTAACCGGACTTGTTGTGAAATGGCTTGGCTCAGGATCAACCAATCCCGATCCAC